ATACGGATCAGTTGATGACCATCATGAACTTCTCAAGTAAGGGCATGACCTTGATCTGCGGTCACATTTTGGAGTTGAACTTTTTATGTGAAATTATAGGTATTAACATTCGATGCATGTTAACAAGAGAATGATGACAAAGTAAATGTCTCATAATTTTTCGCATCAAAGTTCTTGCAAAAGTTTTTAGCAAAACTATTTTGGTAAAATGCGACTATTTAGATGGTTTTGCCCTCTGCTCTGTTGCCAAACCATTGACATGAGGCATTGAGGTCAAATCTTAAAAGCGAAAACGTTTTGAAAGGCCTATCGAATGAGTTGTTCCGCGAAGCTCTAGCTCTTTGGTTCACGAGTTATACGGTTATTTGTGAAAATATAAAAACTAGAATTTTTTCGTCGTAATCTTGTCTTTTTGTTTATCATAATTTTATCATAATTTCATCTTCAATGACCTCAGCGATGACCTAATCGAAAAATGACCTCTACGATTCTGAAGCATCCTACAGCTATCTGTTGCTTTTCTCGTCTTTCTAGCCTTCTTAAATTATGATCGGGTTTGGCCGATACGCCCCCCCCCCCTGGCTGATTGCAGGCGTTAGAGAGCTATCGAACCCACTTTCAGCGCGCTATAGCTTTATATGTCCTCGAGTGTCGAAATAGGCGAAAATTTTCCTTCGATGAACATGATGACGTGGGCTTTGGTCTGAACTGCAACATGACTGAAGTAATTTCTCCATGATTTTCGACGCTCTTTAGAAAGCCGCCTACCGCCGCACTTGTCGCTACGTGACCCTGGAGTCAGGTTAGAAGGGAATATTCAAACATCCCCTAGGGGCGTAAAACTGGAAAGCCTGGGGCCCTGCTCTGCGGGGCGCGGTCGAGCTAGGCTAGAGCCAGTTCGGGATGTTTACAAGCCCTCGTAAAGCTATCAAGAATCTGCATAGAGCACAGGCCTTCCAAGACTTGGGGGTTTAGCTATCAACAATCAACATGGTCTTTTGAGACCTGCGTGGTGGCTATCAGAGGTCGGTGGGCCCCTCAAAAGCCGGTGCAGGAGCCTCAGGTGTCAGTTTGGAGCCATCATGGACCGGCGTGGAGCCCTGATGAATACCTAGGCACCCCTAGACGTCAGGGTGGGGCCGGGCCAAGGCCGGGCGGTGAGGCAGGCACAGGCCTGAAGAGAAGAGGAATTTTCAGATGTCGGCTTGGCATCTTAAGGGCCCTGCGTGGCTTTCTCAGAGGCTGACATATCGTACTGCGGGACCTCCATGAGCCTCAAAAACCTCTATGGGCCCCCTCACGCTTGGGGTAGGCTTCCTGAAGCATAAAATCTCTGAGTCTTGAGATGGGCCCATTAGACATGAACTGGGCCATCAATATACATGTGGTGAGTTGACCAATATCAAACATGATATCGGCTCAATCAGGATTGGGATAGGCCCTCTCAGACCCAGACCAGGCACGGAGTACGGACCCTCCCACACATAGGATGATCCTTTCATTCCTGGGATGAGTCTTCTCAGGCCTGAACTGGGCCCTCTCAGACCTGAAATGGGCCCCTCTCAGGCCTGAAATGGCCCTCTCAGGCCTGACATTAGCCCTCTCAGACCTGAAATGGCCCCTCTCAGGCCTCAAACAGGACCTCAAGGGCCTGAAATGGGCCCTCTCAGGCCTGACATTAGCCCTCTCAGACCTGAAATGGGCCCTCTCAGACCTGAAATGGGCCCCCTCAGCCCGGAAATGGTCCCTATCATGTCGAAAAAGGGCCCCCTCATACCGTAACTGGGCCATCTCAGATCTGAAATGGTGCCTCTTATGCCTGAAATGGGCCCCTCTCAGGCCTCAAACGGGCCCTCTCAGGCCTCAAACGGGCCCTCTCTGGCCTCAAACGGGCCCTCTCTGGCCTCAAACGGGCCCTCTCTGGCCTCAAACAGGCCCTCTAGGGCATGAAATGGGCCCTCTCAAGCCTGAAATGGGCCCCCTCAGGCCTGAACTGGCCCCTCTCAGGCCTGAAATGGGCCCCTTTCAGGCCTGAAATGGGCCCCTTTCAGGCCTGAAATGGGCCCTATCAAGCCTCAAACATGCCCTCTAGGGCCTGAAATGGACCCCTTCAGGCCTGAAATGGGCCCTCACAGGCATCAAATGGGCCCTCTCAGGCCTGAAATGGGCCCCTCTCAAGCCTCAAACAGGCCCTCTAGGGCCTGAAATGGGCCCTCTTAAGCTTCAACTGGGCCCTTTCAGGCCTGAAATGGGCCCTCACAGACCTGAAATGGGCGCTCTCAGGCCTGAAATGGCCCTCTCATGCCATGAAACGGGCCCTCCTATGCCTTGGATTAGGTTAATCGGGCCTTGGATGTACCCCCTTAAATCATAAAATGGGACTATAAATCCTAAAGGGGGGCTATCAGGCCTGAAAACTGTTTTTCAGTCCTATGACGGACCTTGACATTAGACTGATAAAAAAATTGTCAGGCTGCATAACGTTACAGTTCGAATCAACGGTGGGCCCCTAGGATAAGAGACGGGGGTGAGATCTCACCCCTTTCACCCCCCCTGGCTGCGCCACTGACTAGGCATCCCTGAATCAGGGATGTTTTTAATCGAATCGAAAAAAGAATCGTTCAATAACTTTTTGGCTAAATCAAACGCGATCGGAAATCATTCCCTTTTTTATCCTCTGAATCAAAAGGAATCGAATCACCGATTTTTTTAAGGACTCGAACGGTGATTTAATAATTAAAAAAACAATCAGATGAATCAATGGTTGATTCAATCCAAAAAGGTGAATCAATAACCAGTCTGCAGGGAGGAAGCGTGCCTTTTTCAAACGAAAATGTGAAGGCAGGCCGCAGGGGTTTTCCGAAGACACTTGCGCCGGCCCTTTTAGAATCACAAAGGCCCCGAAATAGGTAAGTCCGCTTCTGAAGGTCTCTTTTCACCGCTCACGTGAGATTCCGATGACGAATCACGCCAGTCTCCATAACGGCCAGCAGGCCCCTGCTCCCAGGGGGCCTACGACTTACGAGTGCCCAACTGCATTCTGTACCACCTTAAACCGGCCTGAGGCCCCATGGTGAAAGACTTTCGCTAAGAGCCTAACACTGTTCTGAGTGTTAACATAAAACCCACTGTTCGGAAGTAAGCCAGCGCCCCCCCCCCCCCCACAGGGCGCGTTCGGCTGAATGCGGAATAGCCCGGACATGGGCGTGGGTTAACGTGGCTTGGTGTCAAAGGTTATTTCCAGTGAAACGGGGATAAGATTTGCATCCGCACGGAAAAAAAAATGTAAGGTGAAGCATACCAAAAAGTTAGGAAGTTATGCCACGCTGTTGAAGAGCTGCGATCACAGTCGAGAAAATTGCTGTTATTTTAGCAGTCCTGACATCTTGATACCGTTAGGAAAACAGGCGAGTTGGCCTGTTGCCGTGCCGTTTGCCATTGCGGCGCGGCAGACGGCCGTCACGGGCAGTTAGCTGGGAGAGCCGTTCCGTCCAGTGCTGCAGGCCGGCCGTTTCCGCAGAACCCCTCGCCGACAGGCCTCCATTCGGGGCCCATGTGCGCGGCGCGGCCGTCTCCAGAAGGGGTCTGGTGTGCGGGGCCTCTCGGACATGGCTCACTGCTCCCATTTTTTCACAAATGGCGGCATCAAGGTCACTGACCTGGCCCCCAGCGGTAGTTGGAGCTCTGTGAGCAACAGGGACTCTGACACGGTTTTAAGATTGAGGGTCCCTGCACCCAAAGATCATTCTCTGATACATAAGGCCAGGTCACGAGCGAAAAACGGAGCATAACATTCTACGAGCATGCGTTGTTAGCTCAGTCGTTAGAGCGTTGGACTACGCGTGGAGAGAGCACGCGTCCCGGTTACAACAGTCCGGGTTCGAAGCGCGACGGGGGCTCGGTGTTCATGAGCCTCCTGACGGGCATGGTTGCGATTGGTGGCAGGCCGTAGCCAGTCGAAGGCAGTCAGGGGACCGGTTGTGCGCGGCCTTGCCCGTCTCTAAATCCTGCCATATATCAGGAATTGGGCGAACGGAAGGTAGAGGGCAGGGCCAACGCTACAAGCTCCGTTTAGCGGGGCTCTGTCCTTGCGAGTCTTTCCATTCAAAAGGTTCGAGCCAAATTTGTGTTTTGAAAAAATCCTCGCGCTTATCTAAGGTCGAACGGACCCCTTAGTTCTTTTTTTTACAAATAATTCGCGCAAAAAACGACAAATCGCGACGAAATTTGAGTACCCTCGAGATGATCAACATTTCACCTTCAGAAAAAGTTCATGACGCTAACCCAAAATGAACCTGGGACCTGTTTCTCCAGACCACTTGTCAGGCCAGAAAAGCGATTCGAGTTCGACGCATATCACTACGGAACATAAAATCGATCGACGATCACCTGAATTTGAAAGCAAAGAAACAGAGCAAACAACGTTCGAAAGGTGAAATGAAGTTCACCATAGCCTGGCAAACCTAAGAACAGAGTTTTAGTGCCTGAATCACTTAACGCGTATTTTGCTTACTGAAAATACATCAGACACGTGCACGTTGATCATCTGCACCATGATCAGACCATGCAAATGCATAGTTTGGAGAAAATCTGTCCGTGATAACCAGATTCACACTCTGTCGTTATGGATATGGATCAAATATTTTTTTTCGTAGGCCTGTGTGCACCAGTAGGTACTGAGATATATGGCCATTCATTTTAAAGGTGAGGAAAAATGCAAGAAGTTAGCGCTTAATTTAAGATGAAAAATATTCCGTCACAAGCAAGACTTTCCAATTAAATTTAGTCATGGCATCACCAGGGCACTAAAGAGTCGGGTACTCCAAAGTTTTTCCTAGTATATACTAGAATTATACTATATCATCTAGAACAACAACTAGAACTGGGAGCTTTTTACTATATACCGAAAATTATCCTAGGATATGGCTGCGCTTAAGCGCGGCGCAGCTGGCGCTCGTGTTTCAATACATTGCGCTTCATATTTATACACAAGGCGGCTTGTGGTTTCACGCGGTTCCATGGTGTTCTCCCTTCATTTTACGACTTACAAATTGTGCTGGCTAAGTATTTAATAACTATCGTGTGCATTAAAAAATTGGCTCTTCATTATGCATGGAATTGTGTGAACAAAGGCCTTTCTGAGTAACTGTGTGCAACTTTGCAAACTGCTGTAATTGACTGGGTGGTGGGCCAGCCTCATGCTTTCTCATTCTTTCACTGTTGCGTAGCAATGTGTTAAAAAAGAAGTTTCAAGGAATTTCATCAATTGTGATGCATGGCGACACCTTTCGACTTAGCTGTGAGCATATTTAGTATAAACGTATTGCAAAGATTGCGTACACTGGCTTTATCTATTTGCAATGGCAGCTTTCGTACGACATTGGTGTATTGTCTTTTCTATGTTGGTCACTACTCGTTTGTATGTATTTTTAGAGCCCTGACAGGCTGATGAAGGAAGACTGAAGTCTTCTGAAAGCTATCATTACTAAGAAATGAAGCTGGTGTTATGACTTATGAACAGTGAACAGTGTTCCAAAATTTTATTTCAGAGTGAAAAATTGTTCTTGAAAATTGGAGATGAAAGTGGAAAATTGATTTCAGTTGGATGCCATTTCCCACCCAAAACTGGCAAATTTTGGGACATTGGTTTTGAACAAACTTAACAATACAATATCACTGGCCCAGGCTCTAGCTGAATAACATCAACATATAACATAATACTTTGTGTAAGCATCTCGTACAACTGTGTTGCTGTGATAATGAATTCAAAACACATGCATCCTGCATCCATGAAAGTGGATAGTAAGTAGAAAGAAGCATTTGTTTCCACATGTTAGTGATAATTGTGCAATTTCTTGGTAATTTTAGTTTGTATGAAAACGCGTAAGATTTAGGTGATTGAAACTAAACCTGGAAGATAATTTTTAGGTCAATTTTTACTTCTTTTTTAATGCTGTTCTTGATATTCCACTTCACTCAAAACACACCAGTTCATAAGTTATTTCAGGGCTTTCACAGTAGCCATGTCTTTGTGGTCAATCATCCTCAGAGCAGCCTGAGTCAATTCCATTCATGACTTCCTTAGCCATATATCTCTGATCCTTTTTCAGGACAAGACATGCACTACTACATGTATGCTGTGCCTGGCTCAAGATTCCTATATGTAGCCAGGCTGCCCTACCGACACTGGCAAAATGAATGCTTCCTTGAACAAAGCTAACCAAAGGTGCCATCAACTGTCTTAATCTGAACAGGAAGGAAGCCTAGTTTTCAACATAGACAACAGCTTGTGTGAAGCTGTCACTTTCAGGGTGTGCACCACCCAGTGTTCATTTGTTAACATCAATAATGTGTGACCACGAAAGGAAACCCTTCTGAAGGTACTGGTAACATCTCTCGATCATTCTAAGATCCTCTTAACAATCCACTACCTTAATATTAACAGGTTTTTTAAATAACCATGCATTAACTATTCCTCTAATGCTTGTTATGTTTTCAAATAGGTTCATGTTCTTTCATCCTGATTTTTCAAAGATAAGTATCACTTGAGTTTGTTTTTATTGCAAGTGTTATGCATGTAATTTCATCTTCATGTTTTCTCAGATCGAAGATCCTGCTCGCAGCTATGCCTCATTGCCTACCATGGCCAAAACCTCTGAGGTTTACCGTAGTGTTCTCCGTCTGATTGTTAAGTGTTGAGGATGAGCTGAATGTTACTGATATTGATACCTGATATCTAATTGTGGTCAATGTCTAGTGTAATACCGTGACATCTTCCAATGCCAAAGTTTATTTCCAACGAGCCAAAGCTTATTTGCATTGCAATTACGAGCGCTAGTGTGATGTGTGGAACGTGTAGTAAGTACGATTGGGAACCACTTACTCTGTAACCCAAAGTGGCATGTTTGCATATATGAGAATGTTCAGTGTTCATCGTCTTTAGATAATAAAAGCATTGGCATACCAGGAAGTGGATTGTTCGGTAGTCGCCTAAAATGGTATCAGAGCTGCAATTTTGACACCATCGTGTTCGTGATGCTCAGTCACGTCGAATGATATGCTTTTTGTATGGGTGAGGTCAATTTAGGATGTTGACCTCCGTCCAAGGTCAGGTCAGGTCATTACCTCATGATGAGGTCAAGTTGCACGTTATTCAATTCGGCAGGTCTTTCTGAGTCTATTTGTGTCTTTTCCGTCTAAGATCACTGTCAGCGCCAAAATAGCTGTCTCTATACCCCCCCCCCATCGGCTTATAATGGCCAGATCACCTGACCGACCTGACGTTAGGTGACCCTTAGGGGAAATCCGAAGTTAACGACTTTTGAGAATAAGGGAGTTTGATAAGTTCTGTAAGTTTCATCTACCTGTGATAGATCTCCTTGAATTGATGGAGTTGCTATGTTACGACGTTTTTTAGACCGTGCAGAGGTTCACTTATGACGTCATAGGTCAGTGACCTGACCTGACCTGAAAATGAGGTTGGTGTCACAAAATCCGGCTTGAATCAAAGGTCAGGTATGCCAACTTACAACCCTCCATCACCAGCGCGCTCACCCCTACTTTACTTTGCAGCAATGGTTTGCCGCACATTAACGATAAAAGTTTCGATCTGTCCGAGATTCGAACACAGGACCTTCCGATGTATCAAAAACATGGGGTCATATATAGACGAATATCTCGAAAACGGTTGGATGGGCTTGAACTTTTCGTCCCAAAAATGGAAATAAAAATGTTGTAGCTATCTTTTGACATACTTTGTATGTGGATGCCCACACTACGGAACCTTGAAAATCGAGCGCGAAAAGTCGCATTTTAACACGCAACCCTATGGGCTAGTAGGAAAAGTCACGCCCATGCTGCCATATGACTTTGGAGGGGGCTGGGCATCACTATAGGTATGCCAAACTCTGATATACCTAAACAAACTTTTGTAGTTTTAAGACTGATATTTTAGATATTTATGACTTAAAACCTTGAAGCGTCTTTTTCGGGCCACCCGATATGTAAATACACACCTACTTACTGGTGTATTATAATAAAGCGATACACTTCTTAGATCTAGTTAAAGATAAAACCAGAGGCTGCATCAGCTAAAGAAATAACCCTCGATACCCGTATTGGCCTTTTTACAGCGTCTAACGTGCGGGGGAGGGGGAGGGGGTCGTTGGACACTGCCGTCCGTCCCCTGATCGAGCTAGAGCTGCGCGGAAAAAGAAAGCGTGCTGCCCGCGACGGACGTCAGGAGGCGGACGATACCCAAATTTAAGGGTATAGGTCACTGGTTGATTTTTCAGGTCAGGAAAATGACCCAAAAGTAGAAAAAATCGAAATCTGGTTGAAGTTTGTAAAAAAAGTTTGTTAAAAATGTTTGTAAAAAAAAAAACTGGAAATGTTAGAGGCGTTTACGATTTTGTAGTTTTTCTAGCTACAATTGCGTGACAAGACGTCACTAAAACGTCATTTTCTTAAAAATAACAACGGATTTCGTTCAAATGTTCAGGCAAATGTTTTGCCTGTCCCGTAGCTCAGTTGGTAGAGCATCGGTAGTGAGAGCCCGGGTTCGAGACGCTCCGGCGCTCGATATTTGAGACTCCTGACGGGGATGGTCTGCGGTTGGTGGGAGCAGCCGCAGCCAGTTGAAGTCAGTTGAGTGGGACAGGCCGTGTCCGGCTTTGAAGGGCACGTTAAAATTTGGCATCTAAATTCTCCCGTTACCCGGAATTGCGCGATCGGACGGTAGGGGTCGGGGTCTACGCAACAAGCTCTGCTTAGTGTGGGCTCCGGCTCTGTCAATCCGTCCATTCAAACATTCGAGCTAAATTTATTTAAAAAAAAAGGTCAAACTGGTGAACATATGATACCTAAGGTACTGAAAGTCTGACGTTGCGCACTTAACGCCCTTAGAAACTATACTGGCGAAACGCGAGATGCGGGGCAGATTCCACGGCTCCCTCCTCCAGTGGGGCGAGGTTTAATCACCAGGCTGGGTGAAATTTCCATATAAGCGTCACCAAATGAGGATCGCTTAAGCTGTCAGCGACTGGGTGACCAGATGGAGTTTGGTATGCACACTATGCATGGAAGGCATGTCTCCGACTTTCGATAAATGCCACCTAGCGCTCAGGCTCAGTTTCAATATTCACCGTCGGTCACCGTCTCACGCACCCGGCGCGTCCACAGGCGCGGAGCTGAGCGGCAGAGCGGCGGAGCTGAGCGGCAGAGCGGCGGAGCTGAGCGGCGGAGCTGAGCGGCAGAGCGGCGGAGCTGAGCGGCGGCGCAGAGCGACAGAGCGGCCATGGGCGACAAAGGCTTCTCGCGGCAGCAGTGGGTGACGCTGTTCGTCTTCAGCCTGGCCGACTTTTGCTCGGCGGTCTGCGTGTCACTACAGGCGCCCTTCTACCCACACGAGGTGACTACCGCTGACTGAGTACCGGACACCGCTGACTGAGTACCGCTGAGTACCGCTGACTGAGTGCCGCTGACTGAGTACCGCTGACTGAGTACCGCTGACTGAGTACCGCTGACTGACTACCGGTGACTGAGTACCGCTGAATGAGTACCGCTGACTGAGTACCGCTGACTGAGTACCGCTGACTGAGTACCACTGACTGAGTACCGGTGACTGAGTACCGCTGACTGAGTACCGCTGACTGACTACCGCTGACTGACTACCGCTGACTGACTACCGCTGACTAAGTACCGCTGACTGAGTAGCGCTGACTGAGTACCGGACACCGCTGACTGACTACCGGACACCGCTGACTGAGTACCGCTGACTGAGTACCGCTGACTGACTACCGGTGACTGAGTACCGCTGACTGACTACCGGTGACTGAGTACCGCTGACTGACTACCGCTGACTGAGTACCAGTAACTGAGTACCGCTGACTGACTACCGGTGACTGAGTACCGCTGACTGAGTGCCGGACACCGCTGACAGAGTACCGGTGACTGAGTACCGCTGACTGAGTACCGGACACCGCTGACTGAGTACCGCTGACTGACTACCGCTGACTGAGTACCGGACACCGCTGACTGAGTACCGGACACCGCTGACTGAGTACCGGACACCGCTGACTGAGTACCGCTGACTGAGTACCGCTGACTGACTACCGCTGACTGACAACCGCTGACTGACTACCGCTGACTGAGTACCGCTGACAGAGTACCGCTGACTGAGTACCGGTGACTGAGTACCGCTGACTGAGTACCGGTGACTGACTATACCGGTGACTGACTACCGGTGACTGAGAACCGCTGACTGAGTACCGCTAACTGAGTACCGCTGACTGAGTACCGGACACCGCTGACTGACTATACCGGTGACTGACTATACCGGTGACTGACTACCGGTGACTGAGTACCGCTGACTGAGTACCGCTGACTGAGTACCGGACACCGCTGACTGAGTACCGCTGACTGACTACCGGTGACTGACTACCGCTGACTGTCACTGACAGCCACTGACTTACTAAAGATGTCAATCGGATACCGATATCGAACAAATTGGTATTTAGTATTTCAATCTTGTTTTAGGTGCATAATAGGTGCAGATTTGACGTATGTTTGGCCAAATTAGGTTCATTGTGTTACTTAAAAATTGTTCGTTTGGGTTGCACAGATGCTTATAGACCTCATTTTTCAAATTATCAGTTATCATTTTTGATTAAAACACTGAACTTATGTAATTCATGCTATGAAGATGTTTGCTATAAAAGAGATTTGGTGCAGATTTGGTCAAATAAGATGCATTCGTCAGGTGTCCCATCGTGAGAACGGCTATTGTGAAAGCTCACTAATGTATTAAGCTGGCATCCGCTGGTTAAGCCCTGCTTCAGCGCGCTCAGCACCTAATACGCGCTGAAAAGTTGATCTATTTCAACCCGTCAGCGCGCGCGATGGGCGCCGAGCCGCCGCCGAACCATCAGCTGCTCGTGCTTTTCAGCTTCATCGCGCAGTCAGCGCCCTCAGCCCATAGCCTCCAAAGCTACACGTATTTTCAGAGCGCAAATGTGCGCGCCACGGGGACGGCGACCTTAAAGGTAGTGTGCCACCTTCCAATGATTTCCCATTTTATTTTTCCTAAGATAAGAAGCTTCTGTTTTTACCTAATATAGCAAAAAAATCAAAAATGGGCCTGAAATAGTGCCTTTTTCGCCTAAAAGTTTATCGGTTTTTCGATATGTATAATAACTGTAGTGGGCTGATCTGCAAACAGGCGTCGGCAACAATCGCGAATGCGGCGCACATGTGACAATAAGCAAAGGTCATTATAGAGTTACGATGTACGGGAATGAGTTATCAGCTGTCTAATCGTAGACAACACAATGTCGAACCTTAAATTGTAAGCCTGTATTGGTATTGTTTCTTTTATTTGGCTGTCGAACATTATTTATGGTTTGAAATATGATTTTATGTAAAATAATTGATATGAAAAAGCCGTCTCTTAAGTTATGACCCCATTTCACCACACGCAAGTGACAGAAATGACAATGATCAGCTGACGCATTTTTCTTGGCCGAAGACAGAGCGCGCGGCCCGACGCACCACCACCGCACCACAAAGTATATGAGCAGAAGCCGCGCCGCGCCCAAAGCCAGGGCCCCGGTAACGTGAGGTAGCCGAGTCGGGGCAGCGTGCGCTGACCCAAGCCGGGGTCGCGGCTTTGGGCGCGGTCTACCGCATCCCCGGGCATCCCCGGGCTATCACATGACACCGGGAGGACGCGCGGCCCTGGCTTGGGTCAGCGCACGCTGCTCCGACTCGGCTACCTCACGTTACCGGGGCCCTGGCTTTGGGCGCGGTCTACCGCACCACCTAACAGGCGTGTTCGAAACCGCAGGAGATGATGATGAACGGGTTTATCGAAACTCGATTGGATGAGCCTATCGGTAATAGCGATTTCAGTGTGTGCATTTATTGTTCATAGTGGTGTGAAATGTGGTTGGGGTACGACCGACAATCCGTCGGGGCGAATTTCGCACTGGGGTACTCAAAATTTGAAGAATTTAAGACGTTTCCATGAGTTTTGAAGGTATGGATAAGTTCTAAAAATCCGGTTCTCCTTATCTGGGCCATTAACTCCATACGGTCCAGGAAAGCTGGCACACTACCTTTAAGTCGCAGCTCTCAGACCCGGTGTCACTGGTCTGACCCGGTGTCGCTGTGACCCGGTGTCACTGGTCTGACCCGGTGTCACTGTGACCCGGTGTCGCTGGTCTGACCGGGTGTCTCTGTGACCCGGTGTCGCTGGTCTGACCCGGTGTCACTGGTCTGACCCGGTGTAACTGTGACCCGGTGTCTCTGTGACCCGGTGTCGCTGTGACCCGGTGTCTCTGTGACCCGGTGTCGCTGTGACCCGGTGTCACTGGTCTGACCCGGTGTCGCTGGTCTGACCCGGACCCGGTGTCACTGGTCTGACCCGGTGTCGCTGGTCTGACCCCGTGTCACTGGTCTGACCCGGAGTCGCTGGTCTGACCCGGAGTGGCTGGTCTGACCCGGTGTCGCTGGTCTGACCCGGTGTCACTGGTCTGACCCCGTGTCGCTGGTCGCTGGCAGGCCGAGAAGAAGGGCGCCACGGCCACCCAGTACGGGTTCGTGTTCGGTGTGTTCGAGCTGACGGTGTTCATCGTCAGCCCCATCTACGGAAAATACGTGAGTGAGCCTCGTCCTCCCTGCGCCGCGCGGCAGCTCTCAAAGCAGCTAGCACATCATCGGCAGTGGAGTTAACGTAAGCTTTCTTTGGCTTTTCACAGAAAACGTTAACCTATCTCAGAGTCGACTTGACAATAATTTTAGCTCATCTTATTTCAATGGTGCAATCAGGTCATTTTTTCCTATTAAATTGCATTATGTGAAAGCTTCCTCACCCTTGCTGTGAGCAATGAATGTTTGGCGATGAACTTAAGATGGTGATGCTCATTGTTATAAGTATTGAAGTAGTGTGTTTTAAACACTAATCCCCACTCGCTCGTTCTCCACAGTTGAACAAATTGGGACCAAAGTTTGTCTTCAATGCCGGTATATTTACTACAGCGTCCTGCTCGATATTGTTCGGGTGAGTAGGGAGAACGGGGTCAATTGTAACATTTTTTGCATTTTATCATCTGGTGCAAATACGTTTGCAGCTATAAAGCTCTTTCTTTTATTTTCAGAAACTATGATGTTTTGTCTTTAAAATGCAGTTAAGACATTTCCGAAATAACTTCTTTTTTGGGTCAAAATTGTTGTTCGAAAAAGTCAATTCAGCTGTTACAATTCACCCCAGATACGGGGTCAAAAGTAACACCACCCGGGGACAATTGTAACATGTTCATTTACAGGCTACAGCAACACAATTTTTTTCCAAAACTTTGATTTAACAAAAGTATTGAACACTTGTTCATCTTCCCAGACTTGGTAGGGACGGTTCTTCTCAGGAAAAAGGCATAAAACCTCGCACTTATACAGGGGTTGGATGGACCTCCTCTCCCTTGGTTTTTCGCAAATAAATCGCGTAAAAAGCTGCCGATTGCGACAAAACTTACAGTTCTCTTAATTCTAGCAATGTTTCATCTCCCTTGAAAATTTGACGACTTTGACATAATGGCCACTGACCTATAACCTGTTACATTTGACCCCTGCAAAAATGTTACAATTGTCCCCGTCGCGCCTTGACATATTTTAGACGAAACTGGTGCAAAAAGATGTTGCATGTAGGCAGCATTTCATGCTTTCAATTTATCGACAACAAGCCTGCCAACGCTTACACAAAGTCTGAAGTCGATATCTTTTCAATCGCGGGAATGAGCTTATCAAATATAACGGCATGAAAATCTACAAAATGCTCTCAAAAACACATTACTGTGCACAGCCATCGACATACCCGGCACTTTCGCTTCAAACTCCGTTGGGAAAGGCTGCATAGAATTACGCATTTTCGGTCTGAACATCAGCTCATTCTATTGGTAAGTTTATGAATTATTAGCACTGGTAATATTTTATTTATCTAATATAATAATATTTTATTTATCTAATTATTAGCACTGTTACAATTGCCCCGTGTTACATTTGACCCCGCTCTCCCCTATCTCCACAAAACCCACACAACTTCCCGACCTCAAACCGTTGTCAACCTGCGCCACGCTAGCGCACCCTGTCACCGCAGAGGGACGGGGGAGGGGCATCCCACCCCTGAGATCTCAGAGAGCTACCAACCTATTGTCACAATACACAATTTTGAAGCTAGTGTTTAGACCTAACAAGGTGTCTATCTGATGCAGTTTTTCACGGCAAATCGAATGGTTTTATTTTTGTTCCCCTACGAGGTCTAGAATTTCCAAAAATAAATTTATCAAAAAATTGTGAGTCGGGACGTCATAAAAGTTTGAATAACTCCCACATTTTTGAACCGATTATTCTAAAAACTGGTATGTAGGTGTACATAGACCACTTTTCTGACAAAGAATATTCCGTTTTTTTTTATATATATTCAAAATTTTGGATTTCATAATTATTTCTAAAAAAGTCAGCTTTTTGAAAAATTTGAGCCAAAATCCAGAATTTTCAAAACCCGAGATAGCCATTTGATAGACAAGGTAAAATCACATCTACCCTTTTTGTTACGTCTTGAATCCTTTAAAAATGAAGATGTTAGCGGCGTTTCAAGTTCAGCCGTTTTTTAGGCGAAAATGGCGTTTAAACATCATTTTCTTAAAAAAAAAAATCCGACGGATTTCGCTCAAATTTTCAGGGAACTTGTTAAATTGATGTATAATAAGGTACTGAAAGTTTGACGTCGCTGGCGTATCGCGTTTAGAAGTAATTAGCGAAAAACGGGAAGGGGCAGATTCTGCCCAGCGGGCGCGGGTTAAGGTCCATCAATTACCTACCTCTGACGGATGAAGGTTTACTAATCTATTTGTTCAGCTGTTTTCACGACAGATATCTGACACACATTTGGATCACATTTGGTGCGATTTGGTCAAATTAGGTTCATAGCTGATTTTAAGCAGTTTAACAGCAGTTTGCACAAGTTGCTTATTTGCCGGCAGCACAGTCGGTAGTAACCGTTGGGGGGGGGGGGGGGTATAGGGGATTAGCAAAGTCCATCGGTGCCGGGGGCGGAAGGGGAATGTGCCATAACCTAATATTACCAGGCTATAATGCATTATTCGATAGCAGGCGTTTTTACGACAGAGTATCTGGCTGATGCCGAACTTTGAACAAATCTGCACCAAACTGCAATTTCTTAAGATCTGCTATTCACAAAATTCGCTGTACATGCATGCATACACAATAGATTTATTTCCATGTAAGACAATAGCGTTTAACAATCTGATAGATCCGGCAAATAGGTGGTGTTGCCCTTCCCCCTCCTCCCCCGTACCGCCGGACTGCCGCCACCCCGAGTGGTGCTATATACCGACTCCACCCGTCGTGGTGCGATGGCTTTTTGTATAAGATAAACACAGCTTGTGCATGGACCTCTGCCCTCGGGAGCCGGTGGGATGGTATGGTATGGTATGGTATGTAGACCCGTGTGCTGCTCTCGGGATCCGGTGATGTGGTATGGTATGGTAGGTATGGTAGCGCCGTGAGCTGCTCTCGGGAGCCGGTGGGATGGTATGGTATGGTAGCGCCGTGAGCTGCTCTCGGGAGCCGGTGGGATGGTATGGTATGGTATGGTACACTGAAAATTTTTTTTACTCAGGCCAGGCATTACTCAGTAATAACTCATGAAGAAACTTAGTGAATACGATAGTGGTGCTCACTCATTGGCTGATCTAACTCACATCACCAGGGTGACTTCGTTATGCGTGAGTTCTGAGTGCTTAGTTTCGTGAATTCGAACTGAGTCGGAAATGAGTTTTGCTTGGGCAAATCTAGTCGACCCCCACCGGACACGATTTGGTAGCCGAGGTCTGTGACGTCAGCCGGGCGTGAAGTTTTCCCTTCACCATAGGCTTCACACACAAACCGGCCGAAGTTCATGCCAGGATAGCCCGGCTTGAAAGTGCAAAAATGATTAAATTTTGCCCTCAATAGATTCATTGCTTCATTTCATAACTAAAAACGTCCGTTATTAGGACTCAATGAAGGTAAAAAGTACTCAAAATCGAAGTTTAAGAAAATGCTGTCCGAGCACAATCTGGTAACATCACGTGACCTCTTTTAAGCAGAATGTATATAATTCAAGGATGTTATTACACGATTGCTGCCTAAAACATCATAAATAATACGCTTGTAACATTTATTGCTTCTGTTTAAGTCATAACATTGCAAAACGCAAAGTTTATCATGGAAGTCACGTGACCAAAGGTATAGCAAGGGTTGGGACAAGCACTCAAAGGATTTCAAGTTTTTTAATTAAATTATATAAGTTTCATGATGAAATTGATAGAATGTATTTTTTCCTAATGAAATACAAATTTTCGTATGTAAAATATTTTCCTTATGGGCGAAATTCTCCATATAAGAAATGTCAGTGACGTCACCAGGGCTTTACTGGGCTTTACTCAAAACATCGGACCTACCTGTTTCTTATAGGTATCTTGAATCTAGTTTCCTGCGCAATGCATGAGTTCTCGCGAATTCACGTGCAGTTGTGCGTGAGGTACCCCCGGCTTGAAGATGCGCGCATGCGCGGCAGGGTGAGTTTCCTGCGTGATGCGTGAGTTCGCGTGATGAGTATTATAGCCGTTGCGTTCGAAAACCGCGGCGCGCGCTTCAGTCCGTTGTGGCGCGGTGACTCGCGTAGTTCACGTTGAATTGTTGAGGCTATTGTGAAATTGTGCAGGAGAGTGCAGGAGCGGGGATTGGGGAAGGCGTGCAGCGAAGGATGGGTAGGTTATCTGTGAAGAACTCGGTGATTGTCGATGAAGCTTTTATCAATCGCATGCGCCGCGGAGAACAGGGAGGTGAACTGATGGAACAGCAGATATTCCCCGCCGGCGTCAGGAGGTCGGTGCCAACCGTGAACGGCGGAGCAGATCGATCGAGAAACTGAGGGATACCTACCCGGCATAGTTCGAAAAAGAAGAGGTGAGTTATGCTATATTTAAATTGAAAAAAAAAATGTTTGTGGGATAATGTTGTCCTTATCCTAAAAGAACGTTCATTTGACCCTTTTTACTTCTTTAAACAAGAACTCCGTCACGACCCGATGTTTTTTTTTGGGGGGGGGGGGCGAAGGTTGTTTGAAGTCGATTCTTTCCATGCAGCACCCATAGGCACAATGTTAAAAATGTAAAATATTGGGGGACACGTCCCCCGTACCCTTCCCTCCCGGTGGTGGAGCCCATGGTCTTAATTCCGCTCGCTGAACCGTTTAAGATTCTTTTGTCTCGTTTGTGCTTATTATTTTTCCGACTGTTATTATTTTTTCCCGACTGTTTTTTTTTTTAATGCCTACACACATATTTTCGTACACTATTCGATTTCAGCGAGCATTTTCAACCTTTCTTACATATTAGATTATTAGATACCGCGGCGAGACGCGTTTGAACGTGACATAATTAACCCATGAATAATTAAAAACGTGACATAGTTATTTCCATTACTGTTAAGTGTAACACATTTTATGTGATTGTTTCAAGCTGATTTTAATATTGGACGCCCATGGAAGTGTTTTGCGAGACTAAAACCCGTCTGTTAAGGTGACCATCCCACCTTGACCCGCGCTGTGCTGGGCCCTCCCCCCCCCCCCCCCGCCCCCTCAGGTTTTTCGCGAATATCTAAGAACGGCGGCGCGCAGCGCCACCATTTTCGGCACACCTGCTCATACATTTTTTCTGCATATGAAGAAATTTTAGACCCAGGTCGTTCAAGGTCAGGTCACGTCAAATGACTTAACATCAGAAAAATTTCAATGGTCGCTGACGATCGCACCGTTCGCAACGTGCCATGGAAACCGTTCGATATTTTTGTCATTTTCGCTCAGGGAATTCACCGCTCGATTTCACACCAGTTTGAGGTAAAATGTCAACAACAACAAAAAATATCGAACGGATTTCATTTTATAGCGTTTTTGATACTGTCCCATCACCCATGTCTCAAGTATCAACCTTACGGCATGTA